AACCACGGTAAAAGGATCCAGTGCGACTTGGATCACTGCCGCAGTCACAGAGCTGTGCCTCGCCACTGTGTGCATGTCTGCATTGTGTGTGAATAAATTGTGATGTCAAAGTGTGTGTATGTGTGTAGCCGGTGGCTGCTCAGAGGACTGTGGGGGGCGGGGGGTGGAGGAGGGAAGGAGATACATGACAGTTGTGTGATACCACAGGACTGTGAAGTAAGAGAGGGTGAACACAGGGTTGTCTCACTGTCAACAAACCCTGTGGTCATTTGAAGGACAGGAAAAAAACAATAGCGTCCAACAGATGTGATGTGGTCTGAGTGGTCAGCCTTCATCACAACTTCAACTCTGGATTTCATTTGACAATGCTCAGTTCAGGATGAACAGCTAGAACACGACATCTGAACATCAGATGAAATCCTTCAATTTATTACCAGGAGAAAATAAAACCCTACAGAGTGATGTAGGCCTTCGCTCTGAGCAACGAATGAGCCAGAATGAAAAGCTCTGTTTCTAAGGAGTTGCTGGGAAAAAGGGATAAAAATGGATATAACCGAGAGGTGGGTGATGACGGAGGCGAACGGTGGACCAGTGATGAAACTTATTAAACACTGCCATCTACCGGTTATTATAGGAACAAACGCTTTGAAGTCTAAAGCTAACAGTATCAACCGTCAATGTCATGATGTCTGGGTTAAGATGTTAAGGCGGTTATTTAAATCAGAACACAGTTAAAGAATGCTATGCTCAGGTGCAGAGTGTGGCAGAAAAGCTGAGGTAAATATTCCAATAAAAACAAAATGAAGTTACAACGTAGCATTTCTCCCCACTGAAGTCTAAAAATATCAGAAGCAGAAGTTCGAACGTAATACTTTCCATCCTTGACATGCAGAGTTTTCTGAGCTGAGCCATAAAACCAGAGTGGAAATGTACTTTTCTTTGTATGAATGCTGTTTCAGTCTAAAGCACTTCAATGGTTCTCACGAAGTACTGCTTTTATGTGTTTATGGAACAGTCAAAAATGTTAAAAGGCAATTAACAGGTGCTGAGCACGTCTTCCTGTACCAAAATAAACACACTAAAAGCAGGAAGAGGAGTGGAAAAATGATGTTCTTTTTTTTCTTGTTCCATTATGACTGCATTTCCTCTTTTTTATAAGTATTTGTAACTCACTGACAGCTTTTTGATGTTTCTGAAAATGTAGGAGAAAAAAAGATATTCATAAAACCGGATGTATTCTCTGTACTTTTGCCCTGACCTTATAAAACGCCCATATTATGTTGGAGGCTGATATCTATTCATCCCTCCTCTGAGTTCACACACTCAAACACAATCGTGATCTGACTCCTTCCCTGACACCCTGGACTGTGTCTGCATCAATTCATACCCATATTTCATGACAGTGTCTGCAGAGGCGCCCGTAGCCAAACAGGAGCCCTTAGCAAGATTTACCAGAGCCCCCCCCATCCACCCCAATCACGCCCCACCTCTTGTAAAAAGAAATCCATCATAGAAGAGTTAATATTGTGTTAATATCAGAGAAAAATGAATGGAAAAACTATCCTCAAAAACTTGCACATAAAGAAAAGCAAAAAATGCAAACATTAGTAAAACAAAATACTAGATCTACTGTTAATGCCCTAATAATAATTATTAACATCATTATCATGATTATTTTTATTGTCATGATGCACGGTCAAAGGGAAACATGCTCATCGATTAAACATTTCATTGTATTTTTCCTCTGGCAACAAATGTATCAGCCGCACACATTTCCATCCTATGAACTCCCTCAGTTAATGGCTATGGTTAGATTACCCAGTATAGATTACCCAGATGGTAAGCCAAACCACTACAGCAGCGAGCTGCATCCATCATGCAACTTGCTCATATTGTTCCAAATGGGGCCTCCTTGGCTAATGTGGGGCCCTACGCAGAGAGCCTGTTTTGTGCCCTGCTGGTCTGCCTACAAGTATTGCAGTAACTGTCAATTCAAGAATAGCATGGCAACTGCTGTAAATAATCTTCTACTTTTTTAAACTTAATAACAAAGCAAACTATTTCTCCAGGACTTTAAGTATCTTAGGTGAATTTGACAATTTCCTTTGATTCCAAACATTTTAACCAAACATGAATAGTGGTTTTGTCCCCTCTTCTGACTACTTTATAGCCACATTCCTCCTAAAAATTTTCCAATGATACTCACTGCCCTTTCCCTTAAATAGGCTTTGCACCCTAGTGTCCTACGCTGACTCATTCCAACATAATTCCGAATGCTGGTACAAAAAAGTAAAGATGGGGTCACCTCTTTTTATTCATGAGATGCCCTTTCAGGCTGGCTATAAACCTGCACCTGTGCCCAGCATTTAAAAAGTCTTGTCTAGACTTAGGTGTCATTGACTATTATTGTATAGGAGAAATTGACTTATCTGGCACATTGTACTTTCTTTTCTTTTTTTATTGGCATAAGAGCTACAGTCACGCTGCAAACAAAGAGGCCTGAGCATGTGTTTAACCTGATTAAAGATGGAGCAAAGCTCCCATAAGCAAAGACACCATATGGTTGTTTCTTCCCTCGGCCGTGGTGTTGTTTTGAATGAATGTCATTCTTGGCATCAAAGAAATGAGCGCTGATATACATTAATTCATTTACGCTCGCCAGAAACGTCTTTTTGCCACACGATCACGAATTTTCATTTCAACACACGGAGGTTCATTATTTCTGCCTGGTCATACTGTACATGTGCATTTATGTAGGTAATTATCTTATGTCTGGGTGAGACAGGAAATTGTGACTGTGCATAGCAGGAGAAAAATGTATACCTCAACTCTACAAGTGCAGCACTTCAGCTAATTAGTGACCTGGTTACATAAAGCACTAAAGCAGAGTTGTCAAACCCGCAGCCTGCGGGCCATTTCTGGCTCGTGGACCGCCCAACTCCTGCCTGCAACTACATGTCAATGACGATTTACTTTTGCTGTTGATGAACCTTTTCAATTTTATTTTCCACTATTTTTGCCACACTTCCTCTTCTAAAAAAAGGTTCTTTTTGAACTTCGACAGCTGATGAGGCCCTTGAGTGAAATGACAGTGATAGCAGTGGCAGTGGAGTTTGTGACCCCTGCTCTAGTGCCAAAGACAATTTTGCAATCCAATTTTGGACTTCTCCAGGAACCGCAGCCTTATTAAGATGAAGAGGTTTGTGTGTCCCTGTTCACCGTATGTTGTATGGAGTCCTGTGCTCCTGGTTGGGTCATTTAAGGCAAATTGGAAATTCTCAGGTAAAGGATCAGCTGGAGAATAGTTCAGAAGACCCTGAAGAAAACACACAGATGAATATGACTTTGCCTGGGGGTAGCCTGAAGCCCACATTGTACCCAGACCTGGATGGAGAGCAAGTCAATGAGCACTTGATGACAGGCTACTCGAGTGGCAGAGGTACTGTAGCAGGCCTGGGCAACAGAGGTTGACTATGAGGACGCAAGATGTCACCTGTTTAGGGCAGCCTATCTGGGGAAGTGTTAGGGTTGGAGATACAAGTGTGGAGTGTGAAGTCTTTCTTTAACAACACTGGAAGGCCTGGAAAATTCCCAGTCAGAGCAAGTGAAGGAGGATGAATGGATGGATGGATGGACAGACGGACAACTATTGCCATCCACTGTCTACAGAAGCCGAGATGTGGTATCACACTACATGAATCACTACTTTTTGTAACAATTCTGAAACAGTTCAACAGAACTGAAGTGAAAGTTTAAGGTTCTTTTACCTCGTACACAGTGACCTTTGCAATTTCTCAAAGCAAAAGTTGAGATGTGCTTTATGTCCAATCAAATATCTGAACATTTGAAAAACCTAATTATTGAAATTTACACCAATTCGTCAAAACCAAACCTTCATTAATAATAATAAAAATGTTACTGTTGCATATCTCCTCATAAAATATACACATTCAAAAATTCTGAAATGGCCGTGCTCCAAAGCAGAGCATATCAGGTCACTGTGGAGTCTCTGTGGACAGTAAAATATTTTAAAATGCAACAGAGGAGGTACAGCAAGCTCGGGGCAAAGCAGAGGGCAAAGTCATTCCAGTCCACCTGTAATATTTATATAGTTTAGCTCTGGTTTCTTTTCTTCAATGCAGCAGCGGCTAATGGTGACAGGTTGGTGTAATCAACTATAGGTGGAACAGGTTAATTTACAATTTCAAAATATTTTGTAAATGTTTGAATAACATTTATTTTATTTAAAAACACTAAAAAAAAACAGAACTTGAATTTGCCAAATATGATGTAAAAAACCTGAGCCAAAAAAGCTTACTGCATCAACAGGCCACCTTATAAAACTGCCGTCCATAACACATTTGACATTTATATGACATCAGTGGATGATTTGCTTTTAATAAATAAATTTTCATCCATATGGTCATTTGTAAAATGATCTTCAGCAGAGTCATACGTGCAGGCAAAATATTGAGTTGATTCAACAGAGATAGAAGCCTGTTTTCAAAACCTGAGTCAACTCGTTATATTAATTGAATCCAACTCGGTATAATATAGATAGTGAAAAAAGAAGGTTTAATTTTACTCTATAATCTGGAAATATGAATCAATACCCTTTACTTAAGTTGCCATTTACCAAACTGAAAAGTTGTTACAGAAAATGTGTAAAGTAAAGAATAACAAAAATATACAATGAAAAGTTGTTACAGAAAATGTGTAACGTAAAGTAAAGAATAACAAAAATATACAAACATACGCTTACAATCTCAAATTTAACCAAGGTTTTGACCAAGAAGTCGCTGTTCACAAACTACCACTAGATGTCAGCAGAGCACCAGGCAGGGGGAAAACACCGGAGACAACGTCTCATCGATTTCTCTAGGCATAAGCGGGTAAAGAAAGTGCAGACAAAGCGGACCAGTTAAATACCCAACAACCGTACTCAAACACACCAAGAGAGGGGATTCTAAAGGACAAGACAATAATGTTTGTGCACTTACATCAAATTCATTGAGGGCAGCAGCCAGTTCCCCAATCCCAGCGTGGCCGTGTTTCTCATCAGTGGGTGAGGTGGCCTGAGCAGCACTGGAAATGCCCCCTATGGCTTCCTGCACCTGCTTGAACACGTAGTCTCGGTTGGCACGTGTGGCCGCCACATCTGGATGACGCAGAAAAGCCTGCGAGGCCGTGTACAGCATGGTGGCATTTTTCTTCAGAGCCCCACGTGCTGCTGCCATCTCATCTCTACACTGGGGATCTTTAAGTTCCTGTGAGGATACCACAGTGTCTTAAGTCATGACAAAGTAAAGCCCATGTAAATGTTTCATGAAAATACATATTGTGACTATTACATGTGCAGGATATTAAAAAAAAACAGGGTGCTGCATCGCAAAAATAATTTTAATATAAATCATAATTTTGAGATAAGATATATTTATGCAATGAACCTTTAATGACAGATGTGAAAATTATGAAATAAAAAGGAATGCCTGTGTTAATAGATAATAATACTACTGTGCCTACAGTTCAACTGTCACTTCCTTATTTTGCAATGATTTCTTTTTCAAAGGTGATTACTTACCAAAAGAAAATGCATCCCTGAGAAAAATCAGATTATGACAAATTTGAAGACATTTATTATTATATTAAGAAAATGTATTTTACACAACCAAACATGTACCAATAAGGTATAAAAGGTGTGGGTTAAGGTAAACATGAGAAGTGTTTGGTTTCTAGTTTATCTTGGTACGGTTTAGAAAATATAAACAGAAAATGAGGGGAGAAAAATACCATGTGACATTTCCATTTCTGGGCATATGCTCCTTGAGGAGCAATCAAAGGAACTCTGACTATATTCTTAAAAGATGCACCTCTATAACCTTTGTGTTCATCCTGAAATGTTATTTCACATTTTATTCCGGGGATATCATCACCCACAGTGTTTTATCTAAGCGTTACACACACACACAAAAGAAACCCCTACAGTACCTGCTGTCTCCGAGCTGCCACATAGTTGAGCTTCACCATCTCCTTTCCAAACTCCTTGAAGCGGTTGGCCAGGTCCTGTTCATTAGTGGCATTCTTCACACCCTCCAGGGCTTCCTCTACCTGTCACACACACGGAGTCGCGAAGACAGTTGGGTGGAGACGTTCACAAAAAATGATATAGTATATTCATAAATACAGAACATATATACAGTTCCAGCAACATACATTAGAAGAAATGTTTCTTCTAATATTTAGGAATTTAAATTTACTAATTGTTATGTATATAACTGTTAAATATATACTGTATATATATATAAAGAGTAAATCCTTAATCTATCTATCTATACTTTATACTTGTTGAACAATTATTTAATGTATTAATCATAATTATTGCAATTAATCATGATTAATAATAAATCACTGGACTGTCTAACCACTTACCTGCGTTGCACAACATGTGATATAACAGCTACTGTGAACAACACATTTACAATCAATTTCCAACGTACAGCTCCAACTTTGTGCGTTAAGCACTTACAATTTTAAGGTGGGACAGCAGACGCATGACGTCGGCCATGTCAGCCAGGATGAGCAAGCGGGTAACGGCAGAGAGCAAGGCGCGGGCCGCCCTCACCATCGTGCCACGTTTCACGGAGGAACACGGGTCATCGGCGAACTCTGATGAGGCAATGCGCATGGTCTCCCCTGAGTGATGGAGAGTAAAAACAAGAAAAGGTGGAGAGGAGAGAAGGGATGGGTTTCACTTCAATAAAGAAAAGGTGGAGAGAAGGGATGGGTTTCACTTCAATCTCTGGCTCTCTCTTAAATAGTACTTCATCAACTCTACTTTAAATTTGTGTCTCTACCGTATAGATCTTCATACACAATGATTTGTAAACTTCACATATAAGGTTTGTGTATTTAAATACGGCCTAAATGTTACGGATTAATTATGAACTACGGATTCATTCATTATTTAATTATAGCTGAATATGGATAAAATTGTTAGACTGTGAGTAATGAGAAGAAGCTGCTCAGAACTGAATACCTCTAGTCGAGTCAAATCTGCTCCATTTTATATGTACAGCCCAAACTCATTAAACACATTTACCTCAGGCGATTTTACGTTTTTTAATTTTGAATTAAAATATACTGTATATCTTGCTATAAACCCATGTATCAGAGATAATCTATATTAACAATACAAAGTGCAGCAGAATATGTTTAACAAATATTATTGAAAACCATATTAGATCACACACTGAGCAAGCAGTATGGCAACAGTGGGGAGCAAAAACTCTCTTTTAACATGAAGAAATCTCCAGCAGATCCAGATTCTGTGTTCCACCGTCTGACTCGGCAAACAGAGAGGGTGGGAATTAGGGGAGTCAGCAGACAACCATCTAAATACAGTCAATCAAGCTGTTTAAGTGCGAACATTACCCATTAGCCAATTCAATAAAAGTATGATTAAGATTACTAATAACACAAATTACAGATTAAAAGCGACTTCTTCGACACAGCCGATGACCGAGCTCACCTTGTTTGCGAACATCCTCCACAGCAGCAATAAGTTCTTCCTTGAGGTCCTGACTGTCTTTGGCAATCTGCTCACCCTTCTCCAGAAAGTTCTGGGTGGCCTGCTCCACAGATACAGCCAACACGTGGGCCTTCTTTGAACGTCCCTTTTTCTTACTGGACGGCCCTTTGTTGCTTGTGTTCACCAGGGTGGTCACCTGTGAAGCAGAAGATGTTACACCTCATTTAGGACCCTGCATTCATCCATCATGAACATCAGTCAAATGTATTTATGACAGGTTTGAAGTCATGTAGTCAAGACATAAAAACTTTCTAGATAGAGAGATGAGAGAGATAGAAATAGAGAGATCTCACTTTTTGAATAATATCTGATAACTAAATATTATAGTAGGCTAGTTTTGGAGTGGATTCAATGAAAAGTAGTCTTGTTATTCTGCAGAGAGAGTCTGTTGAGTCAGTGTCCTTGTCTTTTGATGGCCGTTGATGCTAAGGGTTAAATGTGAGAGCATATTAAACCTAAAATGTACTAAAAGCAAAGTTATGTCCTGTCCATCTGCATCACACGAACACTCCTCATCTGACACTTCAATCATGTACATCCTCCCAACGCACACTCAGAAACAAAGGGCCTGTGAGACCAAGTTAAACTGAGGCAACATGGCCTGTCAATTTGTAAAGTAGTATCTCTGTGTGAAAGTATTCCTGGTTGCTTACATACACCTTTTGAGTCCAAAATATTCATTTGATATAAACATTAGAATAAACACATGGAATTGATGCTCCTCTATTTGACCAAAAGAAATCAAAGTAGATCGACCAATTATGAGCCTATTCAAAAATCAAATGTAATCATTAAAATTTTCAATGAATGATGAATACATTTTCATTTCAAATCAGTTTGTCAAGTCATTGTCATGTGACCAGTACCGTAGTAGTTTACAAGTGAACCACCTTCAGAGGTGTGTAACCAGTACCGTAGTAGTTTTAATGACACCAGGGGGAGTACAAGTGAACCACCTTCAGAGGTGTGTGATCTAACGTACACAGATGAGTCACGTCATCCTAACCTTCCATGTGTCTTCTTTATGTGGCAGGTCAGGAAATTGTTCAACAAAATCTTCATCATCTTATCACCAGATCTACTTGGTGTTCAAAACATTGTTGAAGAATTTTGATCAGAGTAATTTTGTACTCACGACTTATCAAACCGTCTGCCACCAAAATAAATTTGCTCCGAGATAAAAAAAAAGAAAAGAAAAAAAATCAGCGTGAATTTTTGATTTATTCTTCACTGTATCAAACTTAATAGGATCCTTGGATTCTTGAGTCAGATAATGAAAGCATGCTGAGCCACAGTACGTGTCTGGATGATTCATTTTCTCTCATATGCCTTTTAATAAACCATTAAATTTGTTGAAGAACTGGGGTTTCAACTAAAGCATGTGTTTTAGTTTTTACCTCAGATTGTTTACATTGGTTCTGCAACAGTGACTCACAGAAGCTCAAGGCATCTTTAGCCTGACCTACAATAACTGCACCACACACTTGAGGATGATGTTTTTTATTTACATAAATAGATTTTTTTTGTCCCCCATGATGTCAAAGGTAAATGTCTTCATTTTCCAGAAAGAATAGATTCTGTAAATTTGCAAAAAACATAAGTTACGGTATTAGCCTTTTTTATTGTCATGTCATTGTACTTGGCCCATAAAAGGAGCATGAGTGGTAAAAGTGCTTTGTCATCACATTAGTTTTGTTCTGAATTAACAGGTACTCAATACTGCAAACATTTTACACAAATCTAGAAAAAAAAATCAACAATAATATAGGCTTAGAAATATATTTGGTTAGTAGCACCTTATTTTTAGCAGCCAAATCACGTGCAACTCAGTTTAATTTCCGCCTCTTCGCAGTTTGCTGCCATGCGGCCACCAGTGAGATTAAACGCCCTAAAACCTGGAGTCCGCAGGGCATTACAACAACCCACTGATGCATGTTTGTGTTTGGGAAGCAGCCATTTCAACCTCACTGACAACCAGAGTATTCTGTCAAATTGTGAGTACACAATCTCCACGTTTAACTGAAATTAGTGTTTTGGTCACCTCTTTTCCCTGTTTGCCTTGTGTCCAGACATTGTTGTATCACAGCGCTCCCTTGTGTCCTTTCAACCTTCAGGCACAGATATTAAAGGCTAACTGGTGATAAAAAAGGGATTGCTTTGCAGCAGCACTACAGATAACCTTTGCCTCAGGCATACAGAGTGGTTGGGCATTGCCATCCCATTTTATTGCAGATCAATAGTATTAAATGCAGCATGGCCTTCAGAGCGCTGGACGGTGGACTCTGCTCCAGAGTAAATCCCTGTGGCTATTCAATTTTCCGCCTTCTACCTCAGAGACTTATCCAACCGATAAGTTGTACGAATTGACAGCAGAATTTAAAATAAATGCATATGTGTTGACACGTGTAGTAAAACTAACCCACTCACAAATGCATACTTTCAATATTTACTGCATGTTAACCTTTAACCAATGTTGTACAAAGGATGTTACTATTTTTTAATGACCAGGCCTGGGCGTAAAGAAGAGAATGTCTGCTATGGGGGCAATCAAGACGGCTGCAATTTCAGCTTCATTCCTTGGCTCACTGTAAAGTACTTCCAAGCTAACAACATATTAGCTCTAGCCTGTGGTTGTGTGCTCCGACACAGAGAGAAAAGAGGTTTGAAAAACATTTCAGACCCCTGATATGTAGACAGTATTATTACCAAACTAAATTTGCCAACTAAATTTCAAAACTTACTCTTGTTTCTTTTGTTGACTACCAGAGTGTAGCCTTTGGAGTTCATTTTTTTTCCAGGAATCTTTGTAATGATTTGGGTCAGGGTTTTGGTGAGACCTGCTATTCAAACTCTTTTTGGGCTTTTGGAGAGGCTTAATCTCCTGTTTTGAAGTGTAGTTGTATCAAAAGATGAATTAAAAGAAAGGTTCAGTAAAATCTAAAAGGTTTTCTTGTTAAGTATTGTCCTATACTTTTGAAAAAAAAAATATATATATTATATTTTCAATATGTCCATCTGTATTTCAAACTTTATGAATGGTTTGATTCTTTTCAATCTTTCTTCTTTTCTCCAACAGAGCGAACATATGTTTTGACAAGAGTTCTTGCTTTGCTACATCTGAAAAGAATGATACACTTTTGTCACATCTCAAGGTTGTCCTTGAGGTGGTTAGAAGTACTGCACCTCCTCAGGAGAGTTTCTTAGTCTCTTTGTATAGGTGGTTATACAAATGCAAACACAGCCTGCATTTCTCAAAGAAAAAACTTTTGTGATGTCCCTTGATGTTGTATTTTTCCGTACCATAAAGCAGAGAACAAGAGAGATGGAGACAAAACAGGCATTTGGCTGTTATTCACACTTACAACACAATAATAATTAAACAGAAAATGAATGCAGCTCCATCCAATTCTGGGACAATAACAGACATTCTTCTTACAGTTATTACATCCATTTAAATGGATGAATATAAATGCAGGCCTGATCTAAACCATACATCATAGCAGGTCTCACTACTGTATTATAAATCACCCCTTTCAACTTTGCTGTGATCCAGCTGATATAATATTGTCAAAGTAACATCATGGGGAAAGTTTAAATCTTTCTAGTATGTCTTGTCCGTGAAGGTTGTTTTCTGTTTAAGAACTTTCTCACTTTCGTCCATGGACTTCAATTAACATAAAAGTTCAAAGTACTGACCTAAAATCTTTCAACCAGGAAAGTTGTAAAAAAAAAGATTTTCAGCCAACAATCTGAACATTTTGTCTTTGACCAGAGGATTATCTTTAATCATTTAAATGAATACATTTTACAGAAATAGGTAAGTATAGTATTAGGAAAATGAACAACAGTTTAAGCCTTAAATAAGCTAATCGATTGTCAGGTTAAGTTTTATCTGCAACAATTCTTTTGAGTTGTGCAGTATTTTTCATGCTTCACTATATTTGACTGGAGGTGAGTGATACTACTAATACCTGGTCTTGTATCTACTGTAACTAGTACATATAGGGCAAGTGTTACCAAGTACTGTACAATACTGAAAATTATGTTCATTAACAGAATGTTTTACATTTCAATATTACTTTTTTGGTGTAAATAGTCTGGTGGTCTTTCTACTTCTATTTATTCTCCAGCGTATTGTTTACTTCTGTGTGTTTTTTAATATGTTTGTATATTTTTGCGGTGTTGCCACATTTGTGGGTTTGTTTTCTGTTGACATCACGACTTGCACCGTTTGTGCCTGCAGCCGAGAAGTGTAGCACCAAACTGCAATTCTCTTCCTCTCTGCCACGGTGCTGACAAATGCTGGTTCACCATGTGACTGGGTGAAGGCACATCGATAACAGCTTACACATGGAGGGAGGGGGAGGGGCAACATGGATGTGAGTGTAGGTGATAGGAGCTGTGTTTGTAAAAACACTGTGGTGAATGAAACAGAAAGAAGAGAAAGTATTACTCAGTACCAGTGATGGATATACTGATACCAACACCACTGCTTTGGACATTTAACTTACATGACAGCTGGGACATGTTAGTTGGTAATAGTGGGCTGTCTTGATGATATATATAATTTAAAAATATAATAATAATACATATCACCAGGAATTAGCTTATTTTAAAACTTTTTTTAATTAATACAGTAGTTAATAACTTGGCCAATACAGACAGATAGGTCACCATAGGTCACCGTTATGCTGCAACTCTTTCTAAACTGCGACCTAAGCTTGAACTCTGATATTTCACAAATGCTAATCCACCCCGCTGCTGTGTCTGCCAGAGACAAAGAGAAAGGCCAAGACAACGTCAGCAACAACAATTCTGTGGGCAACATACTGACTCATGCGATGGATTCTTAGGCCACAAGTAAAAGCCCACATTCTGGAAGAGTCAACCCCAAGGGCAAAACACTGATTTAAACTATTTGTTAAGCAAAGTCTTATGGCAATAAGACTTCCGGAAGGTCTGAAAGGTGTCCACCAGCTGCCAAGTTGCCGCTGAGGTGCTCTGAGCATGGCACCGTCCCAACACACTGCTCCCCGTGCTCACTTTGGTGATAGGTTAAAAGCAGAGGCCGGATTTGGTTGTATGTGCAGTGGTGTGCTGTGTCACAATGACCAAATAATTCACTTTTCAAGTATTCACAGGTGCCATCTCGATTCCATCATGAGCCTTTTAATGACCTATAAACTCACACCAAAGTCATGGTCCTGTATGTTTCTCTTTTTTGGGGGCACTCCTTTACTTCTACAGTACAGCACGAATGCATAAAAGTGTGGTACAGGTCACAGCTGACTAATATCATAAAAAATGTAAATCATCTGAAGAGAACATGTTGTAAGTGTAGAAATAACTGTTCCCTCAGCAATATCTATAGTTAGCAGCAGCAAATAAGAAACTGCAGAATTAACAATGCTTTGGCCTTATGCAAGTTGCCACATTTAACACACTCACCAAATCTTCTCAGACACATCATCTGAACCTGAAGGGAACCAAATGTAGAGGAAACAGTGGCATTGAGTTCTTGAAAGATTGGAAATGGGATGGTTTTAATCTCTGAGCAGCAGCCTCAGGCTAAACACAGGTAGAGCACTGATGAAAATGTCACCTGTCAGGTTCTACTGTGAGTTAAAAAAGCCAGTCTTGTTATATAGCACATACTAATTCAAATGATTTGTTCCTTTAAAATGAAGCTTGACAACATGGAGGTTGTCAGTACATAGAGCTTATCATTTAAACTAAACCCATAATCTAAATTTATTTCATAGCTTTTTTTTTGCACAAAAAGCAAGTTGACATTTAGCGATTAGCACTTAAGGCATAAATATCAGTCAATAAAAGTAGCAATTAGAAAGTTTCATTTTTGTTTTTATTTTACTAAGATGATGATGCAGACACTTTAAACAATTTTCTGTCAGGGTTCTCTTCACTGACTCTTCTCCAATCCTTCTAATCCTTGCAGGCCTTACTACCCTTAAGTGCATAAGAAGGTTTTAGCAGTCCTCTAGGTGGCACTCACTGTCCATGTTGGGGCAGTTGCCCTATGGATAATATATAGGAATCACTGATGTGCAAAAACACAGTCTAACTTTCTTATATACAGTATGTGTATATGTGCATCAATGTGAGAATATCACAGAACAATTACATGTCTTTGAAAGTCAACACAACAGGAGCCCAAAACAATTTCACAATCAAAAACCACAATTTTCTACTTAACTATCCTGCCATGGTACCAATGTATTTAAACGACAGAGAAGCAGAAAAATGCTTCGTTTAGCTGCGGCAGAAAAACATTCAGCTGCAGTGCACACTACTGTATCTACTCATCTTAATATAGACAACGCTGGAGCTGCTTTACCTCATGACTTTTTTATGTAAGGCAATAAATCAATTAATCAAATATTCATATGCATCCCTAGTGATTTCTGTACTACAAAAATATAATGGACCAAAAGTTAAGTAGGAACCACAAGGATTCACTGCTGTTTTACCAGTTAGAAAAATACAAGAACAGCAGAAAATTCTGCCTTTTTTTATGACACTCATTGTTGTGTGAAACTCACACAGCTACAAGTGCGGTTCCAAGTACACAGATTAGTCGATAAAACCACATAAATGAGAGAAAGACCCACAGTGATGTGTGTATTGTGAAGTACAAACCATAAAATGTAAACATATAATAACTCTCAGACGCAGTGTCCAAATAAGTCATAGTCAGCCATCTGTTCAGCTCGAAAGGCAAATAAAATCTATAGCCGTGGCTGTTATCAAGAACAGTTTAACAACTGTGTAACAAGTTTCACAGCCAAAACTACAACAAAAGACCAAGCACTAAACCATTATCTCAGCTATCGCACATGTTTATATTGATCGTTGCAGCAATGCAATCTATCACCACAAAATAAACTGTACATTGGCGAAAGGTTTATTTTGAACTGAGGTCCAAGGCTGTTTAACAATATTCAATTCAATTTTGTTGAAAGCATCTGTGTGGATACACTTTGTTACATAAACAAGTGAAATTGAATTACCTGTGTGACCAGAGGTTCCAAAAGTCTCTCCACAGTCAGGGTGCGGATTTCAAGACTCTTAGGGTCCCATTCCAGCAGGATGGGGGACGTGGCTGTCGTCATGGTTTCTGTGTTAGGAAAACAGGCAGTTAGTTAGAACACTGTTTCTCTATTTTAACTTAAAGTACAAAGTTCAAGTATTGCACAATACCTTTCATTATTAATTGTGTATGGTGGATTAACTGATAAAATCAATGAGATGTGTTCGGAATTCTTCAAAGGACTATTGGTTGACGATTCCTTTTTTCTCCACTGTTCTACGTTTTGTGCAGCACATTTTGGAAAAAAGATTTTTTGTTTTTTTGTTTGTTTATCTACCTTGTGTCCTTGGGTGATAGAAAGGTGCATATGAAATAAAATGTATTCTTATTTTATTATTATTAAACATTGAAAAGGTTTAAGGTACAGTTAACACCTAAGTTGAACCCTCGTTTCTTTACAGATGAAACTATCTAACTATCTGTGGAGTTCCTTGGACAATCTGCTCACTAATGTGAAATATTTAGTTATTAAAGTTATCATGCATGAGCTCAGTGGGGTTGGATTCGGTGAAAGTAAGAAATGAACAGCTGGCGACAACTGGCCATCTGTTGTCACTGAGGGGTCTGCGTCTCTACAGTAAGCACTTTCTGAATGGATCAGCTGGGACTGGTCTGGTGTACTGCCAATGCCAATGAGGCAGGAGGGAATAAAGAATGTGGATGAGAATGACAGATCTGGGCCAGAGGTCTCTAATACTAGACATTTTGGGTCAAGACAGATGAAGAGCAGGAAAACTGTCCCCTTCAAGTACTGATAAAACGTAACAGGAGCCTGATTTTTTGTTTTAAACAGAAAATGTATCTTTGGTTACTTTATTTGTATAGGACTGGGCATCATATTCATAAATATTTTAATAAACAATATAAAGATATGGGACTTCATTGTTTATATTCATATATGTACTCCAGATGTAATCGTTACTTTATAAAACGGACAAAAGATGTGCAAGAGACTTGTATTAAATTGTGATTGTCTTCTAATCCAAATTCCAATACCAATATTTTTCTCCACAGAAGAAAATTTTTCTGCAAGCATGTTCCCATGTTGTTAACTAATTCTGCAGAGTCATGTAATGGATTTATTGGGAAAGTATGGGTTGAAAGCATCTCTCAGCTATGACATTTGCTAAGCAGTAAAGAATTCAAATTTGTTTAAGAAATGACGTTATAAGATATTAATATGGATCAACAAAAACATTTCCTAGGCACAGCACATGAACTTTACTTCCTGTTTGACTCATTAACATGATCACTGGCACCAAAATGGAAAACAAACAAAACTAGTGGATGTCAAGCACTGGTCCACCTAAAGCCAGCTCATCACAGATGGTGGATGAAAATCTTTTTGCCTCAGATCTGTGTGGTACAACAAACATGTTTAATGAAGAGCATGACTCACCCTTGTCGTAATTAATGAGGTGGGCTGCCATCTGCTGTGGACAACTGTTTAAGGATGTTTTTAGACTCAGAGAAAAGACAAGAGGCCCAACAATACGCGACAAGAGCCAATGTAATTAGCCAATGTAAATTTTGTTCACTGTCATGCCAGCCCACCATTTTCATGGATATTGATCTTTTTCTATGTCTATCAAAAGGATTTCCTCTGAAGGCAAAAACATATGGATAATGAAATGAAATAAAAATGTGACAATTAGCTCTAAAGATCAGTAATGATCACTGTGACATCTTATTGATTAGGAATGTTTATTTCAATCTGACCGTTATTATCATCGCCAAGTCGATGCAGCAAAATTATAATATTTTCTGTTTCAGTTTCAGTTTGTCTTAAGCCTAAAATGTTAGTTCTCTGTACAAACCAAAACTGTTCAGTGTACTGTCAAAAAAGTTAGATGAATAGTTATAACAGATAATGTGTTAGTTGTCAACTCATTTAAAAATATCGGGGAACATCTATTACTGTACAATATGTATAACTGATTTGAGCAACATCCCATTGCTCTAATCATCAAAGAATACCCAAGTAAAAATGCCACGACAAAACATGACATGCATATAAAAGACTCATATAGAAGCAATTTTGAATCCTGTTTGACTACAATGTCTGGTGAAAAATTCAATTACTTCCTTCCTTTAAGAAAACATTTATTACAGTATTTGATCATCTTATGTTCAAGTAGGACACTGGGTACAGTGTACTGCGTATAGAGAGGATGAAGGCTGGAGAAACATAAAGTACAACACACTGGCACTGCTGACAAAACACAGTATAGTATTGTTCTGTTGCAGAGACAGGCAGAGAAAGAGTGGTAACAATAAAAGCAGCAGCGAGTGCGCCATATGTTCCCTTCCCTATAACTTAGCTCGTTTGTCATAGTATGTAGGCCTTTCGTGATACATGTTCCATTTTTTTATTGGCCATTGGACAGTTTTATTGTCCTCGGTTCTGCCTGTGTCAGCTTTTTGTGGAAACAATGCTGATCACATGCTCGAGGGGAAACGGCTATTGGGTGTTGAGTTATAACCTCATTTAACCAGTTGTCAACTTAACTCTACATGCTATGTTTGTAAGTGTGCCTGTTTGTGTGTGTACGCTTGGTAGTGGGTGTTGGGTTGGGGGTCGGTGTCAGGGTAGTTTAGGTGGTATTTTTATAAACGACTCGATATGAAAAGTCCTTCAAATGCCCATCCTGTGTACAGGTTAGAGAACTTCCTGCCAAACACAAATGGACGACGGTATGTAAATAATCAAATCACAATCGTAATATATTTATACGATCTTGTTTCGTGCCTCTCTTTTTTTTCCATCTTTCTGTTGCTGCAACATGTCAATTTCCCCAGTCCACAGCAGAAGTTTAGGTTCTTTTCCTCAAACAGACATTAGTTCTGCCAAACTCTGTTTGTACAAAGCTGCTCTGTGTTCCCACTGTCTCTTTCATTTTACCACTAGCGGCAGGAAGATCACAAAAAACATTTTACTTCTCAGGAGGTTTAAGTCAAAGAGGTTCAACTATGATATTTTGTTCAAGATGAAGAGAAAAGTTTATTTTCAGAAAAACAGCCATGCTTTCTAATGCTGTATTTCAGCACACTTCAGGGTCTAGGATCTGTGTCACTGGGGTCAAGTCTCCATCCAAAAGCAATCAATTAGAAAGATAAGGGTCTAGAACTTTAAAGAAAAAAGGAGTTGAGAAACTCGATTATTTTTTCTAGCTTTGGCCAGTGAGTGATGCAGGTAAGTGGCAGAGAAAATGAGGAAACAAAAAGCAAAACCCAAAATTGAAGAGCTAGGAGAAAAAGGAAAAACCTTTTTTCTCTCCAGTGTTGAGAATCTATGGCACAAATTGGTAGAATCAAAAGGTATGGGGTTTTTCTTTTTCTGTCACATAGCTCTCAAAAGCTTAGAATCAAGGGACCTACCATGGCATCAATAAAGTTATTTCTATCTATCTTTCTATCTATCTATCTATCTATCTATCTATCTATCTATCTATCTATCTATGCTCTGCATCTATAGTACACATGGTTGGAAATTCCCAGCAATGATTTGTGAGTCAGTATTGGTTATTGTCTCCGAGCTTAAGAGACATATGGAAGTGAAGAAGAAGAAAAGAACTAAGCATTAGCTCAGAGTGAGTTAACGGGGGAATTGATTTATATTATAGAGCATATATTAAAGAGCAGACAAATAATTTAGTAGACACTGTGGGCACAACAGGGGTGGGTTTCCTTTATTTATAGTCTGATGCAGATTTTCAAAGACCACAAGCTACTAAAGCTGCTATTGTCGTCCAAGCTGTGGAGCTAAGCAATCAGTTGCCAGTCGTATTCTTTTAAAACTCCAATGTCCAATTTTATTTTGAGTATTCCAGTCGTATTCTTTTAATACAATTACAATAACAATTTAAAATGACCTACAGCCATGCTAGACATAAAGTGCAGAAAACTTCTACCAACATCAGTGCCAAAAGTCACTGGCACACAAACAGTTTAAACCACACGTCATTAACGCTTAGCAATTCCATAGTGCAGTGGTTATCAGGTCTGCTTGTACGTCATCATCCTCATGTTAGATCAAAGTGTCTTAAAAAAAAAGCTGTGGGGCAAGTTGATCTGTATATTTCAAGTCTTTATAGAAATATTCATATTCATTTTATATTTACTATTGGCAGGAGGTCAACACTGTAGATTAATTGATATTAGACAGTAAAGTTAATTATACTTGTGCCTTTGACATAATTACATTAATTGTTTGGTTTCACTCATAAAAGAAAGAGCCCCAGGAGCCTGACAGAGTGAGAAGAGCAAAAGCTGAAGGAGTGGCTGATGGGTAAAACATGTCAGAAATTAAACATAATTTGCCAATGACCTATATTGCCAATAGAATATAATAGATTGAATAATTATTGGCATTATATAAGCAGTATAAATGCAGCTGTAATGTATTCTAAATTTTTACTTAATTATTTAAAATATTGGTAAAAACTAAAAAGAATCATTAGCTACAAATGTCTATGAAGATTCTCAGTCATCCAGGTCATGGTCAGGTTTAGAAGTTCTGGCAACTGGACGTGAATTTTCTAAAATGTTCTTTTTAGAAAATCAACATCCAGTTGCCTAACAGAACTTTCAAACATTAGCTAGAAATGAAATAATAGTCAAACACAAAATCTCTGAAAAAGTGGCTAAACAAAACTCCAATGTCCAATTTTATTTTGAGTGAAGAAATATTTAACACACTAAGGTTTTCTGGTTCTGGTATAATCTCTGTGGTGATCTTCAACGCAGGAAACAAGACTTCCCAATAGTCCATGCAGACATGGATTAACGCCAATCGCTACGTGAATGAGGTTGATGCATGCAAAGCACTATAAGGCTTTAAACCTTGCCTGCATTGCATAATGTAGACAATGTGATGTTATAATGCTAAGCTTGCAATAAAATCCCTGTCATTTGTGAAGCACTTGTCTGCCAACACTGCACTGTACTGACCTAGATTCAGAGAGAATTCACACAGAAACTTGTGTCAAGCCTGTGGGGGACTCCCTGGATTAAAAAAAGTCCAGGCT